TTTTTTAAAAATAAACCCGATGCCAGTTTGACGACGAGAAGAAAGAGGGTGAAAGAGGACGAAAGAGGTGAGAGAGAGGACGAAAGAGAGGTGAAAGAGGACGAAAAGAGGGTGAGAGAGGACGAAAGAGTGTGAAAGAGGACGAAAGAGGATGAAAGAAGGACGAAAAGGGTGAGAAAGAATGAAAGAGGGTGAAAGAGGACGAAAGAGGAAATGAAAGAGGTGAGGACGAGGACGAAAGAGGGTGAAAGAGGACGAAAGAGAGGGTGAAAGAGGGTGGTGAGGGTGAAAGAGTGGGGTTGGTGGGTGGGGACGGTGAAAGAGGACGGAAAGAGGGTGTGGGAGGGAAGGGGGTGGGTGGAAGTTGAGGGAGGTGTGAGTGAAAGGTGAGAAGAGATTTATATATATATATAATCCTGATGACGTCAGCGGACAGAGAAGAAGACGACGTTACTTCATTTTTCATGAAAAACGTCACTTTTTGACCACTTGTATCTCCAGAACGGCTTGACCGATTTTATTTTTTCTTGGCTCAAATTACTCGTGGCGATGCCGCCTTTCAGGTTATATTACGTGCAATTCAAAATTTTTTATATTTTAGTAGTTCTACATCCCCAAAAAATGGACTTTGATGGTGCAGGATAAGGAGACTTGTAGTGTCTTTTAAGGTCTTTTAGGGTTTGAACATGGCCGGAGACACTACCGCGTCTCCTAATATTCCGATCGTTCGAAAATTCGAAACATTATTCTATATGCCTGATACGTAATAAAAAAATATATTTCTACTTACTACTTCTTCTTGTAGCGTGCGATGATCTCTGCATCTTTGCTGCACATCTGATCCGACTGATCGACACGAGACACGAGCACGACTCAACACGATTCGCACAAGACAACGACGCGACGCAACTGGACGACCAGGACGACTGCTACGAAAACGAAACTGGACGAAACGACGAAACAAATGAGCGGCGTAAACAGCACACAAGTGCGACTATGTATGTGTACATACGTATATACGTGTGTAGGTTTGCAAGCAGCGACACGAAAACAACAGCGTGCGCGCACGTGCTTCTGGCGTTCGACTTCGAGTAGTAGAAGAGGACAGATATATCATCTACTGTCTCTTTCTTTCTCGAGTCATGTTAGCGCTGGCGCCTGTTTTATCTCTCACGTAAAAATGAAATTATAAGTAGAGTACATCTTGTTATTATACAGGGTGTCCGGTAACTAACGGACCAATGATTAAGGGCGGATTCTCTGGCCAATTTGGAGACGATTTTTCCTTAGCAAAAATGTTGAGAAGTCAATAATTTTAGAGTTATAAGCGATTGAAAAAAATGGGTTTTTTGAAAACTAAACGTTTTGGAGTTAAAAGTCTAACATAATTACATTCTTCAGTTAATTTTAGATAGAATTTACTATAATAAAATTTTAATTTGAGGCTTAGTTATAAAGATACATAATGACAAATATTGGAAAGTTGTAAAAAATGATGACCTTTTTCGACATTTTCGCTGAGGAAAAATCGTTCCCAAATTGACCAAAGAATCCATTTGTAATCGTTGGTCCGTTAGTTACCGGACATCCTGTATATATGTATAATGTTATAACAATTTATCCATTTATTTATCCTATATATACGTACATTGCACCAAACATTTTTATGAATATATATATATATATATTTTTTACGAATGATTTTCAAGAATATTTTTTATATATATATATATATATATATATATATATATCCCCAAAACAAAATATTCTTGAAAATCATTCGTAAAAAATATATATATATATATATATATATATTCATAAAAATGTTTGGTACAATGTACGTATATATAGGACAAATAATGTAAAAATTATAAGTAGATATCAATGTAATTACATATGTCTAATGTTATATCATGAATATGATAATTTTATCCTTTATATTGAAAGTTCTTATTTCTCCTGTATTTCATCGGTTGCATAAAACATTTTCTTCAAGATCATTTTGCTTCAAAAATATTTTTTAAAAATAGAAGATACTTAAAAAATTATATGTATAATATTATACACACACACACATACATATATATATATATATATATGTGTGTGTGTGTGTGTGTGTGTGTGTGTATAATATTATACATATGATTTTTAAGTATGTTCTATTTTTAAAAAATATTTTCGAAGCAAAATGATCTTGAAGAAAATGTTTCATGCAACCGATGAAATACAGGAGAAATAAGAACTTTCAATATAAAGGATAAAATTATCATATTCATGATATAACATTAGACATATGTAATTACATTGATATCTACTTATAATTTTTACATTGTTACGTGAGAGCTAAAAGACAGGTGCCGGCGCTTACATGATTCTTGAGACGTTAGGTATATGTCTCGAGAAAGAAAGAGATAGCAGATTCTTGTCTGCGCTCTTCTACCTGAACGTCGAGCCGCCGAGCAGTATATGTATGTACACATGGTTTCTTCGTCATGTGGGCAGCGGACGAATGTGACATTTCTTCGACGAGCGTAGTTGGCTTTTCCCTAATCAAGATTTTTATGTTGCTACGCTCTCTTTCTTTCTTTCTCTCTCTGTCTCTCTCTCAAATTTCTCGAGCTACTGTACACACATATACATGTGTAAAGTATATAAATATATGTATGAAAGTTTGCTTTGATTTTATTTTTATACAAATATGTGTAAACGTGAAACAATAATCTGACTTAAAAAAAATTCGATTTATAAAGTTCCTAAAAATAATTTTACTCCATTATTGTTATAAACAAATTATGTCGAGACAATAATAATTTGGTTTATTACATATCGAGGCATAATAATAATTCCAAATTTTTTAGTGTGACGACATAGTTTTAATTCACTAATTTCAACAAATTAGTAATATTCCTGAAAAGAATTCATCAAATTTTTCATTATGTCCCGACGTGTAATTCAACAAATCATTATTATGCTACAACATAGTTACAATTGAGTGAAATTATATCCCAATAAAAATGTCGTAATAAAAATTCTCAATTATTCTTAAATAAATACCGCACTGTGTGTGTTATTATGTTCTGGCAATTTTAATTACTCAATAACAATTGAATACAATTATTCTTTGAAACTTAGCGACGTGCTACAGATTTGTTTCACGTTTACTCATATATTCGTATAAAAAAATTAAAATAAATTTTTTTTACATATATTTATATATTTTAAACGTGTATATGTGTGTATAATTGCTCGATAAATTAGGAGAGAGAAAGAGAGGGAGAGAGAGAGAGAGAGAAAGAGAGAAAGAGAGAGAGCGTAACCATTTTTTTCTATCTTCTTTCAATGGTTGGAAAACCCGATTTGATTGGCGAGATATCATATTCGCCCCTCTCACGCGTATATTTTTTTTAAATGATAAAAATAAATAAATCCATCAATATTTATGAAAAATAGGTTTTCTTTTAAATAATGTATACACGTAAACTTGATATGATACACAACGATTAATAGAAATAATTACTATATATATTTTAATTTGAAACATCTTTATTGAAAGATTTTAATTTTTTTTAAACGTTTATATCTCTATTATAAAATAATATTTGTGTGTACTTTATTACATAAATATTTATCATATATATATATATATATATATATATATGTATATCAGTGCTCGGAATTATCTCAGCATTTCAGCCGATTTTCGTATGTCGACGCCTCCTTTTCTCCCTTTGCCGCGCGCGCTGCAGCCGCTAGGACGAGCGCGGCCGAGCCTCAGGAACGGTACTATCCAATTATGATACGATCTTTCTCCCTTGATTTTTAAAATTTCAAAAAATGTATTAAACATAATTTTTTTTATATAATATTATTATTATGATTATATACCGTTTGATGAAGCATGGCAAAAGTATTTTTTAATCATAAATTTATGTTTATATTTTTATATTTTTATTGTTTAATCATAAATTCTCCTCTCTATTTTTTTCTCTACAGTGGAATAGGCCTACTAGGGGATACCACTCTAAAAAAACACGTCAGCAATAATACCTCACATGAAAATATATTGAAATATTTCTACGTATAATGTAAAAATAAAAAAAATTATGTTTAATACATTTTTTGAAATTTTAAAAATCAAGGGAGAAAGATCGTATCATAATTGGATAGTACCGCTCCTGAGGCTCGGCCGCGCTCGTCCTAGCGGCTGCAGCGCGCGCGGCAAAGGGAGAAAAGGAGGCGTTGACATACGAGAATCGGCTGAAATGCTGAGATAATTCCGAGCACTGATGTATATATATAAATATGTTCTTGTCGAAGATGTGAACTATATTTTAGAAAACGTTTATAAAATAAATAAACGTCTTTTTAATAATATAAAGAAATAAAAATAGTAGGCAGAGTAAAAAATCATTCAATATAAAAGTTTCTGATTGATTCTGTAGAAATTATAATTATGTCAAACATAATAATAATTTGATGAATAATGTTGGGACAAAAATTTTTATTATGTCACGATATAATTTGCATCAATTTTGTTTTATGTCTCGAAGTCATTTTTCAAATGTTTTAGAAAATTATTTTTTCATATTTTTTTATATTGCATGAAATTTTTTTACTCGGCATGCAATTTTTATTCCTTTATATTCATCATAAAAAAGATGTTTACTTATAGACAAATATACATGTACATACAGTTTGCAGTTTTTTAGGTATAAATGTGTTGTAATTCAAAACGTTCTTCTAAATATTTAGTTCACCTTTGACAATATTATTATATCTATGTGATAAGTATTTAGCTAAAATTAAATACCACTAATCACTTTATGTATATACAAACGGTTTAAAAAAAACGTGAATCAAATAAAAATACATATGATAATTATATGTATAAATAATTATGTCTAATAGCGAGTTTACGTATAAACATTTCTTACAAATCAATGTCTTTTTCGTCGTGAATATATAAACAGATCTACATATATACGAAAAATAAAATAAGTTATTTTGCTTACGCGCCAAAAACGTCTATTGCGCGTATGACCGGGCTGGTACATACCTACACTTGCGCGCATTGTGTACTGCTATCTGTACGCGGCTTGCAGTAATAGCGCGAGATAACAGCTGACTTACACACGTTGAGTCTAGACAGACTGTGTATATACGTGTAGTGAAAGCTGTATAGTGTTTATAGTAGTAAGTGTATAGAAGTGTTTAGAAGAGTGTATACAAGTAAAAGAAGAATATATTATAAAAGTGATGGGAAGAAAATACGACAAAACACATTTGCCTCTCACTCGCCGCAGGATGTCGCGAAAGAAAGGATGGATGAAAAGGTTAGTAACACCATTTTAAATTTAGGTGTCCGAAAATTCGCAGAACACCCTGGGAAGGTAGAGAGTGTTATCTGAACAGAAAAGTTCTGTATCATTCTCTACCTTCTCGAGTGTTCCGCGAATTTTCAGACATCCTGTATAGAACTTGGGTTCGGCGAAGCAATCTGAAACGTCTGGATGCTCTTTTGACTCATTCTGTTATTTATTATATATAAATTTATTAGTGATGTAAAAAATACTTTAAAAAAAAAAATATTTTTAATAATTTTTTTCTTACATTAGATTTATACAGAGTGACCAGAAGTCCAAAAAAGGTGGAATATTTCATGAATAATGCGATTTTGAAAAAAATATTTTAAACTAAATTCGTAAAACAAGGCGTATCATAATTTTATAACCCAATTATATTGTACCTTACAGTTTTTTAAATTTTAATGAAAATAAATTAAACTTACAATATAATTATATATAATTATAGATAAATAGACTAAAAGTAGAATTACACTTAAAAATACTGTGGCCTGAAATTTTCCAATCAGTGTATTGTAATAGAACAAAAATAGAGTAAAGAAAGAGACGTCTGCAACGTCTTAGATTTACTTTGCCGAACCCAAACAGAGTATCCCAACGTATTCCAAGCTTTGAGTGCATAAAGAATAAAAAAAAATTTTATAATTGTTGCAAAAGATATAGCCGGGCAAGCATAGTGCCCCCAACTAGTTTATAAATGACATTTGGCCTGTCATTTTCTAACTATAAAAAACAATTTTTCCTAGTTTTGCTCCCTAACTCTATAATGTCCAGAGAAAAGGTTATTTTTATTTCTTTTCTCTATCGCAAATATTTTACATTATCACACATCAATTTTTTGCTAAATTCTAATAAACCAAAGACACCAAAAAAATTTTTTTTATTCTCGAATAAGAACTCAATTAAAAATTTTAAATAAAATAAAGAAATGGCCTTTTCAGTACGTTCCTTTCGAGGTTCAATCACAAAACTTTTACAGAATATTTTGTCTTTGTCTCAATACTCTCAAATTGTTTCAAATTTTTCGAGTTGGTGCATCATTTAAAAAAAAATAAAAATTACTTTTTTTGCATTATTTCCAAACATTATTTATTTTTCTTATAACAATTATAGTTTTGATCATACATAAAAAATATAAAATTATGTTTATACAAAAATTACAGCAACTTTTACAAAGATGTAATCGAAAAGTAAATTTCTATATGAGAAGAAATTAGCTCTTTTAAATTTTTGAATATAATGCTAAAAAATAGTTTTTATTTTTTTTAAGATATTCCAACAACTTGAAAAAAATTGAAAACTTTGAAAGTATTCAGACATAAAAAAAAGAATATTCTGTAAAAGTTTGGTTATTGAACCTCGAAAGAAACATTCTGAAAAGGCCATTTCTTTATTTTATTTAAATTTATCGAGTTTTTATTCGAGAAACCAAAAAAAATTTTTTTTAGTGTCTTTGGTTGATTCTGCAAAAAATTTATGTGATGATGTAAAATATTTGCGATAGAAAAAAGAATTAAAATAAAAATAACCTTCTCTCAGGAAATTATAGAGTTAGGGAGCAAAACTTTTGGAAAAATTGTGTTTTTTACAGTTAGAAAAAGACAGGCCAAATGTCATTACGAAACTCGTTGGGGACACTTTTATAATAGCATGCTTACCCAGCTATGAACTTTGCTCATTTTTGCTTTATTTTAAAGAAAATAAAGCCATGTTGGTAAATTCATTCAAATATGTACATATTGTTACATGTATTATTAATTTACTTGTACACTTCTAATGAGTAACAGACTAATTTTAAATAAAAAGAGAATAAAATAAACGCAAACAAAAAAAACCATACAATAATTTTGTTATCACGGCTCTATCTTATTTTACTTCAAAGATTTTTAATTTGCTCTAATTTTATATTTTGCAATGTTTATTTTATGATATTTTTTGATATATTTTATTACTGCTTTAAATTTCTGTACCATATTTTTTGTTTGCATTATTATTAAATAAAATACGTTATAGAAAAAAAGAAAGTTTCCTAAAATAAAATTATAAAATTATAAATAAATGCAAGATAGTAACCTGCTTACTTTTATTTGTTTATATTTACATCTCTGTTGTTTTCTTACAAATTATATTACAGTTATTACTCTTCAAAAATGTACATGTGAATTCATTAGACTGGTGACAATATATCGCGTACATTCAAATGTTGAATAAACTAATATTTTTTTGGTGATTTTCTACAACACAGCATAAATGAGTAAATCTGAAATATAATATTTTCTCCATTTTCTTTACACACCCAAAGTTTTGATATTTTGAGATACGCTGTATAAAAATTGTGGAAATTTTTTTGTTCTGTTTTACAATAATTTTATATATAATAACAATTAAATAATATTTTATATATTATTTGTTAACATTTTTTAATTACAAATTTGTTAAATTAATTTTAAAAATTATTATAAATTATTATTAGAAATTATATTTAAATTGTTTTTTACTTACATTTTTTAAACATTTTTATTTCAAATAAAAATAAATAAAAAATAATAAAATAATAAATTTTATTTAAAAAAATTTTTTCATATTTTTAATTTTTATATACTTTACTAGTACGAACTGTACTAATTTTTTTACCAAAGTATAAAAAATACTTTTTGTATAATTTTTAGATACAGAGTAATTGACAACTTGTTCTTGAAATGTTATATCCATGAGTGAATTCTGAGACAATTTAAAATGTTGCTAAAAGCCTATTTTTAATATTGTAAATATTGCTATTTTGTTATATTGAGAAGGATATACTACAAAATATTTTTATTTTAATACTTGTAAAGAAATTAGTTATTACCAAGAAAAAAATAATATAATAATACCGTAAAAGTATAAATAAAAAAATCTGTTTATTTTTATTTTGTTATCTATCTTGAAAACAAAATCTTTGAAAATAAATTACTTTATACAATATATATACTAAATTTACAGAGTAGTGGTGGTGGTAGTGGTGGTAGTGGTGGTAGTGGTGGTAGTGGTGGTAGTGGTGGTAGTGGTGGTAGTGGTGGTAGTGGTGGTAGTAGTAGTAGTAGTAGTAGTAGTAGTAGTAGTAGTAATATAAAGAGTATTATACTTTTATTATTACAGTTGTTAGCACCAGAGGCGATCTTTTCGTGGGCTGGTTATATAAAATCCAGAGGCGGTCTATTCGTGTGCTGGTTATATTAAATCCAGAGGCGATCAATTCGTGTGCTGGTTATATTAAATCCAGAGGCGATCAATTCGTGTGCTGGTTATATTAAATCCAGAGGCGATCAATTCGTGTGCTGGTTATATTAAATCCAGAGGCGATCTATTCGTGTGCTGGTAACTTTCTAGATTAGAAACGATTTGCATGTGTGTTCTGGTTATACAAAATTTGATCCAGAGGCGATCTTTTCGTGGGCTGGATTATATAAAATCCAGAGGCGGTCTATTCGTGTGCTGGTTATATTAAATCCAGAGGCGATCTATTCGTGTGCTGATAATTAAAAAAAATATTACACAATTACAATTACAATTTTACATTAGATGTGGTTTGCATGTGCGCTACAGTAGTAGTATTTATATTGTTAGCTATCTATTTTTTCAGTAATACATAATTTTATAATTAATAATTTATTTTTAATTGTACATTAAAATAAAGTTAATAGTAGATATCTTGTATCGCCAGTGATGAATAAAATTAAAAATAAATGTGAGACGACCCAACTGGCTTAAATTAATTCTTATTATTATTAGTTTGATGCCATGTACAAGAAAAGACAACGTTTCGACCTTAGGTTTAGGTCCTTATCAAGTCTAAAATTAACATTAAAAAATACAATAGATGTACATACAAGAATTTTGATTTTTAAGAAAGTAAAGCGCAAACCAAGATTATAATAACAATTTAAACGTACCTTACAAATTCTTTAGTGCAATATATAATTAATTTTTTTCATTTTACATATTTCAATATAAATACTGTGTCACGTAAACGTTCAGTATGGATGGTAAAGACGAACTAAATTAAACAGCTTTGATTATTCTATCATAGATCGGATTCAAATTCTCTGTGTCTTTCTGTAGGTTGATCGTGTTATTAAATTTTTTTATAAAAAACATTTCAGCAATCTCTCTTTTCCTAGTGTTTGTTTCTCGATGTAAAATATTTAAGTTTGTCCATTTAAAGTCATGCGAAAAATCATTTCTATGTTTGCTTATAACATTTTGATTGCTGACATGCATTTTTATATTAAACCCCGAAAAGACAAATTACCTAAAGCCGATATGACCGAGATAGTTTATAAAGTTGACTGCAATGACTGTGACGCCACATACATCGGACAAACTAAAAGACACCTTAATACTCGGATTAAAGAACATATGAATAATATAAAAATGCATGTCAGCAATCAAAATGTTATAAGCAAACATAGAAATGATTTTTCGCATGACTTTAAATGGACAAACTTAAATATTTTACATCGAGAAACAAACACTAGGAAAAGAGAGATTGCTGAAATGTTTTTTATAAAAAAATTTAATAACACGATCAACCTACAGAAAGACACAGAGAATTTGAATCCGATCTATGATAGAATAATCAAAGCTGTTTAATTTAGTTCGTCTTTACCATCCATACTGAACGTTTACGTGACACAGTATTTATATTGAAATATGTAAAATGAAAAAAATTAATTATATATTGCACTAAAGAATTTGTAAGGTACGTTTAAATTGTTATTATAATCTTGGTTTGCGCTTTACTTTCTTAAAAATCAAAATTCTTGTATGTACATCTATTGTATTTTTTAATATTAATTTTAGACTTGATAAGGACCTAAACCTAAGGTCGAAACGTTGTCTTTTCTTGTACATGGCATCAAACTAATAATAATAAGAATTAATTTAAGCCAGTTGGGTCGTCTCACATTTATTTTTAATTAAAATAAAGATTTATTTTTAAAAGATTTTGTTTTCAAAAATATTTATAAATATTTTTTATAATTTTTATAATAATATTTAACAAAATACTTATCAATAAATGTTTTCTTGCAGGCGACAGTTACTTATCAGTGAGAAGACAAAGCAAGACGTAAAAAACTTGTCGGAGATGTGTCAAATTGTAAGTGATACAGGTATGTATAATGTCGAACAAGATGTTCGATTAGCTAATAAATTAGACTCGAGAAGCATTGAAGATGTTAGTATGGAATCCGTCGACTTTAAAACATCGGATGAATTATTTCCCGATATGACGTATTCAAATATCAAAACAATGCAGTGTCTCGAGTCAAATACATGCATGTATGTCGAACAAGATATTCGTCTTTTCGACGATAACGAAAAGTTAATTGACTCGAGAAGCGTTGAGGATACTAGCGAATCCGTCGATTTAAACAAATCGGAAGAATTATTTCCCGATACGACGGATTCAAATATCAAAACAATGCAGTGTCTCGAGTCAAATACATGCATGTATGTCGAACAAGATATTCGTCTTTTCGACGATAACGAAAAGTTAATTGACTCGAGAAGCGTTGAGGATACTAGCGAATCCGTCGAATCGGAAGAATTATTTCCCGATACGACGGATTCGAAAATCCAATCAATGCTGTATCAGAAGTCAAATACAGCTATGTATTCTGTAAAGCAAAATGTTAAACTTGGCATAGATAAATGTTTCGAAAGCATGTATATTGATGATTCCAATGACTCCAAAAGCATGCATTATGATAAATCCATTGATTTTGAAAAATCGGTAGAATCATTTACCGATACAATGGATTCTAATATTCAAGTAATGCGATGTCTAGAGTCAAATACAGATATATGCAATGTAGAAAATGGTGTCGAAGATGACAAATATTATGTTATAGAAAAAATTAAAAAGAGCTCTATTGATAAAGATGATATCAAAGAAAATTTGCCTGCAGGCCGTCGCATTATGGACTTCTCTTTTATATGGACTGAGCTGCACAGAATCTTTGACAGACATAATAAAGCACTGGACTGCTCGTCAATTGAAAATTTGTTACTTATAAAGTCTGAAAAATGTGGGTTGAAAACCCAGCTGTTCTTCCAATGTAAAATGTGCAAAACAAAAGCCAGCATTTGGTCAGAACCCACAAAACCGGAAATAATGGACATTAATACGGCTGCTGTAGCAGGAACACTTACTGTGGGAACTGGTTATGCCCAGCTGGAAAAGCAGCTTGCAGTCATGAATGTTCCTAGCATGTCCGAGCCAATGTACATCAAGAGTAGAGACAAATTAGTCGACGAGTTTGTAAACACATCTATAGAAAATATGAAAACGGCTGGTGAAATTGAAAAAAAAATCGCTCTTGATAACAACGAAGTTATAAACGGTATTCCGTATATAACAGTTGTAGCGGATGGTAGTTGGATGAAAAGATCGTATGGTACCACGTACGACTCTCCTGCCGGTATTGGAGCCATAATTGGTTACCGCACGAGAAAGGTTCTCTACGTCGGTGTTAAAAATAAATATTGCATAATATGCGATATGGCAGAGCGAAGAGGTATCGAGCCGAAAACTCACAATTGCTATAAAAATTTTGATCGCAACGTAAGCTCCACAAAAATGGAGAGCGATGCCATTGCAGAAGGTTTTAATTGTAGCCTCGAAATGCATGGTCTAATTTTTAAAACGCTTGTTGCTGACGGTGACAGTAGCGTATACCAAAGTATTAAAAATAATAATCCATACGGAGAACATATGATAACAGTTACCAAAATAGAATGCACGAATCATCTGCTACGTAATTTATGTAAAAAAATTAAAACTGTAGCAGAGAAAACTCGGCCAAAAACATCCAGACGGCCTGGCTTAATACAAGTGCGAAATGTAATAAAAAACAAAATTTTAGAAATACGAAAGGAAATAACTGAGGCAGCCGCTCTACGAAGACAAGAACGGCAACCTCAACATCGTCAGGCTATGGAATTACAAACAGATATTTTAAACATTCCTAGGCATGTTTTTGGCGATCACAAGCAATGCAAAGAACGTGGCAAAGAGACTTGCGATGGAGAAGAAAATTATATAGATTCTTTAAAATCACATGGTCTCTATTTAGAAATAGAAGAAGCTGTCGAGTATATAAGTGGTTACTCTGACAGCTTATTGTTAAATTATACGAATAACATTACAGAGTCATTTAATTCGTCGATCTGCGCACAAATTGGCGGCAAACGTATTCTTGTTAATAAAAAAGGTGGTTACAATGCTAGAGTTGCGGGGGCAGTTTTGCAATTTAATACGCAACAAGTAATTACAGAAGTACATAAAAGCATGAATAAGACTGTTCCGCCTATTGTCGAGAAGTTGGAGAAGCGCCGAAGAGAAAAATTAGAGAAAAATAAAGAGTATCGACAAATAGAAGGAAGATCAAAAAAATTCAAACAAAAATCGGGAACAGACTCTTATTATGGTCCACACTCGCAAAAACCGGATCTACCGTCCGATGTAATCGAGCAATTTCGACAAAATCATTTTAAAAAATTGTCCGAAAATGCAAAAAATTGGCAAAAAATTGAACGCGACACTACAAAACAAAATGAATCACAACAATGGCTACAATTGAGACGTAAAATGTTAACGGCATCTAATTTTGGAACCGTATGTTGTAAAAGAATGAAAACGTCTTGCGCATTGCCTGTGAAAAATATTTTATATCCTTCTGCTATTGAAACCGAGGCAATAAAATATGGTCGCGAAAAAGAACCAATTGCGAGAAAAGAATTAGTCGAAATACTAAAAAAAAGAGATTAAACCTTGTGGATTATTCATTGATATTGAACATCCATACTTGGGTGCTTCTCCAGATGGACTTATAGATGAAGACGGTCTGGTAGAAATAAAATGTCCGCACTCAGCTAAGAACTTAACAGCTGAAGAAGCTATAAAGATGACTCCACTAAAGAACATCTTTGATAAGAAAAATTCAGAACAAATGAATAAAAATCATAAATATTTCTATCAAATTCAAGGCCAGTTAAATATAACGCGGCGAGAATATTGTGTTTTTACTATGTGGACGCCAAAAAGCTTAAAAATAATACGTGTTATAAAGGATAATGATTTTTGGAGTAATAAAATGCTACCCTTTTTAACAAATTTCTATTATAATTGCATGCTGCCAGAAATCTTGGATAGTCGGCATAATAGACATATGCCTATTAGAAATCCAGATTATATAATAGAAGCTCAAAAAGGGGTAAAAAAATTAAATAGTTGTCGACAATGTAATACAGAAAACAAAAATATTATCAAAGAAAGTCAATGTTGCGAATATAATAGTTTATCTATGAAAGCAACTGTCACTCCTGTTACTGTTATAAGTGCGGAACAAGATGACGATTGCGCTATTGTAAATAGTTACTCACAAAATAAAAAAGAACTAACTGAAAACGATATGGCACGACAAAAAAATTTTCTCGATAATCGTCCTATATCTGATAGTGAAATAGAGAAAAATGTATTACCTGTGGATAGTCTAATAAACGACGATTCATTGGACAAATTCTTGCGCGTCGTAAAAAATACATGTCCTTTTGAAACACAAAGTGTGTTATATTTAGAATATTCTCATTTAATTGAAGCAAGTCGTAGCGACAAAAGCTTACAAATTATTGGAGGAAATTGCAGTAATCATTGGCGATGTATATTTTTTGACGGCACCAAGCTTCGAGTGTATGACAGTCTACCCGATTGTACATACAATAAATTGGTGCCTAAAGAAAAAAATTACATTCATCGTCGTTATCCACAAATAAGTGCAAATGATATTATATTTGAAAAGGTTCAAAAACAACCTGATGGCACATGTTGTGGAATTTATGCTGCAGCTTTCGCTACAACTATAGCTTTAGGAGAAAATCCTTGTAATATGACATAATCGTATTGATTTTTGATAATTTGACATTCAGAAATTTTCTGTCTTCTTTTCCAAAAATCTAAAAAAAGCCTTCAAGATAAAATAAAATAACACATATTTTAGTATTTATATAACGATATAAAAAAAGGTGCATGTTTTTGTATATATCGAAATTATATATATATCGATTTTGCAAATAATACATAAATGTCAATATTGCTATAAATATCAGCACTTGTCTCTTCTCCCTGTAAAATGAAACAAAAATTCTTTCTATTTACACCACCTTTTCGTGGTGAAAAAGCTTTATGCTATAAAATAAGAGAGCAACAAAAAAAAATTAGAAGTACATTTTATATCATGATTTTTAGTGTCTAAAAGAAATTGTACAGACACTTGTACCTTTTCATCATATAAATATAAATAAGAAACACATATACATATTATGTATGTCAAAGTGAACAATAAATTTGTTCAAATAATAAAAAAAAAATTTATATTTATATTCTTATCATCGACATTATACGCAAATATATGCGTATAAGATGATGTGTAACAATGTGTATAAATAATTTTTTTCATAAAATAGAAAAATAATATACAATATTCTATTATTATATATATATTATAATATATATATATATATATATATACATATATATATATATATTATATATATATATATTAATATATTCCATTTAAATATATTATATATATCCCTATATTTTATATAAATACATTTTTTTTTCAGAAAAAAAAATAATTTTAGATTATTATTTTATTCTTTATTTTATAATTTATATATATATAATAATGTATATATAGTATATATATATATATATATATATATATATATATATATATATATATATAGGGGCAAATGGGGGAATTGCAGTCAGTATAAATTATTTTATTTTCAGAAAAAAAATATCTTTAGAACCAAAATGAAATAGTTGACGGATACTTCATCAATCATTCTTCGAAAGTGGAAGCATAAAAGTTAAGAAAGGTAATATATATATATATATATATATATATATATATATATATAAGAGAGAATGGGGGAATTGCAGTCAATAAGAATTATTTATTTTCAGAAAAAAAATGTCTTCAGAACCAAAATGGAATAGTTGACGGATACTTCATCAATCATTCTTTGAAGATGGAAGCATAAAAGTTAAGAAAGCTAATATATAATTGAGCCTGCATTGATTAAAAAAATCTATAAATTGACCACAATTGACCGACGTGTTGGGTAATTACGGTCGCCTCTTGGGTAATGCCAGCTGGTCGCTAGCAGGCAGAATTCGGTGGTATATTTTGATTACGAGATTGAAAATCCATAGAACCAATCTACGCCAGCACAATTTTTTTTTATTAAAATTATTGGGGATGTTGTGACGTTCAGCAAACTCAAATGCTGCACAGCGCACTTGAAGAGGTGTCTGTCTGTCTCTCTCTCTCTCTCTCTCTCTCTCTATCCTATATATATATATATATATATATATATAGTTAAAAATTAAGATAAGTGAGCTTAAATAAGATTATGTTTTTATTAATTTACATGGTTTATATATACAAGTAAAAATGTTTGCACATATAACGTTTAAATATATAATATTGTATAAACACACGTGTATATATATATATATATATATATATACGTGTGTTTTATATTTATAATAATTGAATAAAGACATTTTAGGCTCACTCACCTCAAATTAGATGTAAGACAGAAGTTGCATTTTTTTAAATTAAAGGCTGTGTAATAAAATAGATAAATACTACAAATACGAATTTATTTTATTGTTGCCGTTTAGAGGTAGTATCAGTACTAGATGCTCAACCATTTTATTGTTATCATTTGAAAGTTTAATTGTTAGCACATAAGTCTAAATGATGTAAAACGTACATATAATGAATAAATAAATATATTATGTTATAATATTTTTGTTATATATTTTTTTTTTTTTAAAATTTAATTTAAACGTTATTTTAAGCAATTATTTTAAGACAATTCTAAAATCATTATAACGTCATACTATTGTCATCTAATGACGCAATTTTATTGTCATCTGATGACATCATACTGTTGTCATCTGATGACGTCATTTATGCTGTGACAAATGGCCGTCAGTATAGGGTTATTTGTACGTCATACTGACCGTCAGTTTGACGTAAGTTCTGACAAAAACGTACGTAAAAAAGACGTCTCATTGACGACGTTGTGCTACCTGGGATATATTATATCTATCTTCACAAAAATTCTATCAATAAACGTAAATTAACTTGATACTTTTAACAAATGTAATATATCGAGTACAGTATACCTAAAAGTTACCACAATCAAATAAATCAGTATAATTTTCTTATACGATACACATTTTAAAATAATCAAAGGAATAAAAAAAATATCCAAAAAATAGACAAATTTTAGAGAGTTGACTTTGGACGGTATTTATAGTCCAAGCTTAAACATCGTCTTAAGATTTTCTTGATTAAGATAGTCTTGTTTGTAAGTATGACTTGAGACTTCATGTATTCATAGTTTTAATTAAAATGAGACGATCTTCATAAAAAATAAACACTTCTTGTTATTTAAGATTTTTTTACTGAATTTAGTGCTTAAGATGATCTGATTTACTTTCAGTAATCTTTGGGATTTTTCTGATGTATCAGCGAATGAAATATGTTTAAATATAGAAAAATTTAACAAGATGTATGTCTATACCATTTATTTATGTTATCAAATTATTACAGACTCTAAAGTATTGTTAGAAAGTAATTTTACTGTAAAAAAAAATATCAAGCAAAAAAAAACATTATATAGATCCCGAAAAGATTCTTTCTTAAAATTTTTAACAAAATATTCTCCTTGAAAAAAAGTGATGCTACAATTTGAAACAAGAAGCATGGAATCAAACTTCCGATTCATATATCTATTGTAATAAAGTAAAAAATCTATATATTTTTTCTAATTAGGTATGTTAAATGCTTGAAATAAAAATGTTAATTATATCTGAAGAAAATCTAATATATTTGCGGTAGATAGTTTCATTTTTAAGCTAGATTTTAAATATTTTTTATATTCAAAGTAATTTAATTTTTAACATTTTAATGTGTAATAAATTATTACAGAGAAGCGTTCAATTTAGAAAATTATGGAGTAATTTAAAATCAGTACAGAGAGATATCCTTACGCAGGAAAAATGCACGTTTATCAACAGGTGGTGGACCTGAACCTAAATCTGCAAAGATTGACCCGGACATTGCCGCAATAGCACCCAATTTAATGACAATTGCACCAACATTATTTTCATCAAATTTATCAGATAAAATACTAAAAGGTACTTTCATCTTTATTTTATTTATTTATATTATAATAAAAATTGAAAAAATAGTAACAATGAATATTTTTCAGAACGACAACAAAGAATATTAATGATTTGTATTCCTGAGGAATTAATTGAAAATGTGGAGAGCATAGACTTTATTGATGATGATTTCCAGGAAGTTAATAATGATTCTATTATCACACTTCCTACAAATGATAAAATAATTAATTTTATTGATATTTTCTATTAACATATTTGTTTATGAATAAGAATTTAGAATTTTTGAATGTTACAGACTCAAGCAGTAATGAGACTGATGATGCTGAAAAAGAAAATAATCCAGTAAATGAAATAATTAAAAATAATAATAAAGATAAATTTTATTAATATATTTATTTTTAGACACACCCCTCTCTCTCTCTCTCTCTCTCTCTCTGTGTGTGTGTGTGTGTTGCGTAGTATCTTAAGCATATTTAACAATTTGTTTTGTACTGGTGGAATCGGCAGACCACGATTGTTAATTTTTGCTAAAATCCTTCTTCAATTTTTCGTAATATTCCATATAGGAGGAATCCTTATTAATCTATAGCGTCTTTTAAATTGTAAATTATTATAAAAGGGTTTTAAAAAGTCCATCACGAATGTATCATTTTCGTACACGATCTCTCTACTTGAAAATCACGATCAATTAATATTTTTTCAATATCATCAATTTCTTTTCCATTATATATAATTCCATAATATTTAATAATAAAGGCGGGAGCACA